AGACCAATGACTAATCATCTTTGTGGTTTAAAAATGACCAAGTTTAGTCTGTTTCCTTCACTGTTTTTGTTTCCCTTCTGTCCTTCATGGAGAATTATGGCTGTGTTTCTATCTAGTTCAGAAGTGCCACCCAGAAGAGAAATATGAAGCATTAAAGGATACCTGAGAACAATTATTGCTTTAGATTTATGGATCCCCTGTTCACATGTATCACAAAAGCCTTTTCTGCCATCAAAAAAAGCCTCGGTGGGCCCTCATCAAATGTGGCAAATGTCACCCAAACAAATCTGCCTCTTGGTTTGAAGTCTGAGGATGAAAACTGAAAATCCATCTGGGAAAAAAAAATATGTTCCAATCTGACCAATGCCAATCCATCAGCCTCTAGAAAGCACTGTGATTTAATGTTTCTAGAGCAATCTTATTGTAAATGGATCAGAGGCACTGGTGTTTTTAGGTTACAGAGGGGCACTACTGCCCCTACTGCCCTACATGCAGCTGTGCAAGGAGCATGGCTTCTGGCTGAGATGGCTATATTTTATCTTCTTATGCCATCTTCCCTGCCCTTGTAACCCCTAGACCACAGGACCTCCAGACATCTTGACCTAGGGAACTTAACTCTTTCAGCTCTGGAACCCTGTGGCCCCACCATCATGACTGGTGAAAGTGTCCCATCACATCACACCAAACCACAGAACTTACTCTACCTAGCCTGCCCTAACCATGCTTCCTTAACATTCCAACTTACCGTCTTACCACCCAGACTACCACGTTGGAACATCCTCCCCCAAACCCCTTCGTAGTTCTAGTCCTGTAATCAAATCAGTAAGTACCAACATTGCCGCTAAGAAGGGTATTGCAATCAACTCTCCAAAGGCTCTATTCACTTTTTGTTGTTGTTCAGTTGTTTAGTTGTGTCCCACTCTTTGTGTCCCTGTGGGCTACCCTATCTATGCGATTTGCTTGGCAAAGATACTGGAGTGATTCGCCATTTACTTCTTCACTGGGTTAAGGCAAACAAAGGTTAAATGCCTTGCGCAGGATCACACAGCTACTAAGCGTCTGAGGGCCACATTTGAACTCAAATCTCTCTGACTCCAGGCCCAGCATTCTCTCCATTAAGCCCACTACCTGCCTCCATGCTTCCTGAACATTCCACCTTGGCCATCTTGCCATCCAGTCTACCATGTTTAAATATCCTCCCCCCAACCTTTTTCCAGTTCTCATATTGTAATCAAATCAGTACCTCCATTGACACTGAAGAGGTATTTCAATCAAATCTCTCCTAAGACTCCATTCACTATTCCTGTGAATTATGAAAACAGCAGGGTTACCAGTCCCCTTTATGTGTTGATACATACAGAAGGTAGAAGCTGCTTGACAGCGTAAAATGTCTTACTTTCGCATATTTCCCCAGAGCTTAGCAAAAAGCTTGACACATACTAAGTGCTTAATATATGCTTTTTTCATTTATCCATTTTTCTTGCTGCAGTTGTTTGAGTAACCAAGGTGTTCAGTAGCCTCTGTAACCTAGCATTTCAGTAATTATTCTACTCTATCTATGCAGTCCTTGTTTGATTAACTTTGTCCAGGCAGCTAGATTATGCTGCGGCTTTAAGGACACATTTTGCAATTGTTTTTTCTCGTTTTAAATTACTCTTTTGTAGCAAAATCCTGTCCACTGCTATTATTCCAAGTGCCTCCAAGAGTTAATGAATGCAAATGTGTATTTATTACTGGAGCATATTCTTAAGGTTTTGTTCTTTTTACATAACCCATAGACAGCACTTCAATAGATTTCATTCTAATCCTGTTTTGTGTGTATGTGGGGTTCCCCCTACCTCCACCCCTGACCAGTAGATTTCCTGCTGTTTGCAATGAAAAGTGCCTTGTACTGTTTGCTGCCTTTTGATACATTTTTCTCTTGTGGAGAACATTTCAAAACTGTTGGATACAGGCAACAATGGAACCAGTACAAATTTAGGTTTTAATAAAGCATTTGGTACATTATTTTCTGTGATAGTTCTTGCAAACCTGGTTTAAGTTATCTTGGACAATAACTAGTTATGTGTTTCTTAAATGGTATTAAAAGGTCAAAGCAAACAGGTAATTAGAATGGAAGGCTATCTACTGGTGGAAAGGGAGGGTGGAGTGCTATTAAAAAAAAAGGTAATGTTTAAAATGCCGTATGAAAAAAAATCTGGTGGTGATGAGACTTTGCTCATCTAACAGAATAAGACTGTACAAAAGACATTAGAAGCAGGTACATTGAAAGAGATTCTATGTCCAAAATGGCCTCTCAGTCTTTGAGAACCTGTGCTCCATGAAGCTTGCGGGCTACCTCATACTCCATGAAGGCTTCCCACACCCCACCTCTCCATATGCTCTTCCCTCTCTAGCTCAAATTGCTTTCTTTCAATCATCTGTGTACATTTTGACCCCCCACACCAACTCCTCCATAGCCCAAGGTAAGTTTTGAGTTGGTATGGTTTTTTCCCCTTCCTATGCCCAGTACTTTGCATACAGCCAGTGAATAATTAAATGACCACTGGATTGACTTTCTCCACTTCCATACTGGGCAAGACCTATAAGGAGCATAATGACCTTGGGGTGAAAAGTTACATTTAGCTGAAATTTTTCCCTCGAGCGTAAGACAGAATCCTGGCTCTCATTTAACTAGATGTGTGAGTTTTCAAGGGTAGGCCTCTCCCCATGCCCCCCAACCTGCAGTGGTTCCTTTATTCTCAAATCCTCAATCAAATATAAGACCTATTTGGCTTTTCAAGTTCTTCACAACATGGTTCTTTTCAACTGTTCCTGCCTTATTCTTTACTCTCCTCCTTTCCACAGAATACTCTATGCTTTTTTTCAGAGTAAATTCCACTCCTCAACCCTCCAAATCCCTCCCCCACTAGCTGCTGGAGGCAGTTAGATGGTTGGGGGTAGATTACATTCAGATGCTTAACTAGCCTTGTGACTCTGGGGTGAGACACTTCTGTCTGCCTCAGTTCTCTTGATTGTAAAATGGAGATAATATAGGGTTGGGAGGATCAAACGAATTTTTTGTAAAGCACCTAGGGAAGGGCCTGCCACATAGTAAATATTTATTAAGTCATACAATAAACGTGCTTCTTCCTTCTTTGCCCAACTCTTGCTTTTTCGCTTACAGGCTTTTGTGAGTGGAATGCCATTCTCACCTCTTCCTTTCAGCTTCTCCCATTTCCTTCAAGACTCAGATCAATTTTACCTTCCGCAGGGGGCTTTCCAAATCCACTCACCATCTTCCTTCTAAAATGAACTTCTACTTACACTGTGTGTGTGTGTGTGTGTGTGTGTGTGTGTGTGTGTGTGTGTGTGTGTGTGCGCGCGCGCGCGCGCCTAGCCCCTTTCCTTCCCTTCAAAACAGGAAAGAATGCCTAGGTTAACTCTAATATTGTTAATCCACACAATACCCAAGTCTAGAAACCAAGGAAATCTGTATTTGTTGCTACTCTTCTAACCCCAAGGTCGTATGGCTTAATAAAATCCTTAGGAATAGAAGAACTGTTTCTTAAACTTAATTGACTAAAATAGGCAACTTACTGTTAAATTATAACTCAAAAGCATTTCTGGAATTATATATGGGAAAGAAAAGATCCCATAGCAATAAAGCCAGGAATCTCAGAACTACAGAGATCAATTTTACTAAATTAAACTTGGGAGCTACAGATTCTTGTACAATGAGAAAAGTATAAATGAAGCAGAATGCACAGTGAGAAAAATGGACAAAAGTAAGAGTATTTGCAACATAAAAAAAAAAGTTTCTGATGTTTGGTCTCCTCCAATTGTGAGCTCCCGGAGGAGTCTTTTCTATTTGTATTCTCAGTGCTTAATAAATGCTTTATTTCTTAAATATCTGTGAAAAATTTGAAAACACTAATGACCATTAAATAAAAGCTAAAAGCAAATGCCTGGATCAGAAATAGAAATTAAAACAAGGTAACATTCATATATTCCAGTGACAGCCCAAAAGGAATTCAACCATAATTCATTCATTATAGTTAGAATAAAATGTCAGCAAAAGCTAAACATCAAATAGCAAGCACCACAGATAGCTAAGATAAGAGAGCTGTTGGAATACAACGATTAAGACGAATTAAATGATTAATTCAGTATTGTATACAAAATCTGTTTTATCACTACTTTTCCCTCTGAGAAATGAAAAATCCTGTCCTGACCAGCGATCTTGAAAACAGAGATTCAAGTGTTGTGAACTTTAGTGCATTTCAGGTAGTTCACTAAAATGGCAAATTCTGAGAAGATTAAAGTCTTTAATGTCTCTGAAATGCCTTCAACAAAGTCATATTCCTTTTATTCAAGAAATATGTTAAATCTTCCTCATCTAAGGAATTACACCTTAATTTGTCTCATAAAAATCTTCTGAATGCTTTCAACAGCATATGTAAGAATGCAACAGAAAGTTATTTTACTGGTAATCCCAAAGATTATCTGCATTTTTCTAGACACCTGCACAGGCATTTAGGGTAATGATAAACATTTATAGAGAGCTTTACAAAGTATGTTCTTTATAATGTTTCCATGAGGTAAGAAGTACAAGTATCATTATGCCCATTTTACACAGGAGGAAACAGACTTAGGAAGGTTTAAGTGACAACTTACAACCACAATGTTAGCAAATGTGGAGTCAGGAATTGAAACCAGACCTTCTAGCTCAAGTGTAGTACTGCTGATAATTTACCATACTTCTTTATCAGGGGAACCTTTTATAGTGTAAGAGAGCCTGTTGATGATTCAATAAAAACTGAGACGCAACACATACACAATCTTATCTAACAAGGTGAAGGATCAAAGAGATCTTCCTAGAAATGTTATTTCTGCAGTAGAAGGGATACGGTCAAATGCACCAGAGATTGAGAACAAGCATTAAACTGAATCCTGCTGGTGGCATGCGGGATAAAATGCCTTATTAAAATAAAATCACTGAAAATAAAAGGCAACTCATGGAAAGTTGAGCATATAAGAAATTTATTTTTTATTCAATTTGTAAAGGTCCCTTTTTAAACAAACAAAAAAAGGATGGTATAGTTCTCTTAGGACACTGGTTTATTCATTTGACATTTTCTCCATCACACCATTCTTCATTATGAAATCACCAAAGCAGAAAATCATTACAATATTTGCACAGTGTCGCTACTAGCTGCATCAATGTTGACCTGTATAAAACTATAAACAATACAAATTCAGCATGAGACTCCCTCAAGGGTCTCTCAACTGGCTAGATATACATAGCAGAAGAAGTCTAAAGCAGAATATACTCCCAAAGAGTGGAGGAGGGGAAGGGAAATCCAACATGTATCAAAAACAGTCAAATTGAAATACTCCGACCTAACAAATTCTACAAACAACAGTAATTTTCATTGCATATAAAGAAAACCGTGCTAATATCCCTTCAGTGGGCGATCTATGGTAAAGTATTAAGCACATAAAGTAAAATGCAAGATAAAACTATTCTAACATAGGATTAACTCCAGGTGGTTATCTGTTTGTAATCAAACACTGGGCTATGACCCATTCTACTTCATTCAAGTCATAAGCCAAATATTTCATCTGGTAACTGACACCAAAGAATGGACTATACATATCCAATTACAAATTTTACCATATGAAAGGTGAAAACTAATTTTCAAACATCACTGAACTCAAGACAAAAGTCCTTTCCTCCATATAAACATTGCAAATTGGTGTGAGAAATCTATTCTAAGGTTGAAATAGTTCAGACCTTACAAAAAGAGAGAGAGCATGGGTCTTCTCTTACTATAGGCTCAACTAGAAAAGTAAATGAAAGCTTTTTTATAGCTATGCCCAAGTATAATAAGCTAAGGAAAGTAATTAGGAGACATTTTTGGCCTCTCGCTTTCTATCTCCATTGTATACAACTCAGTTTTTACAGGAAAAATAGCAATTTTTGGTGCTAGTATTGGGCTTGGTGACCAATGTTAAAAAGGGACTTAATTCTCAAAGAGCATCCCACTGTAACAATGCCTAATCACCAAGTCCCACTCATGCAACAAACTAAGACTTCACTTTAACTAGGAAACCACCAAATGGAAGCTTTACTTTTCCTAATAAATCGAAATGTAAAAAAAAATGACAGTTGTGGCATTCCTCTCCAAATTAATGCTACATGGATATTTCCTCCCAAAAAGTCAGTCAACAGTATGAATCAATGTGTTTCAAATGAAGAAAACCTACTGACTTTTAGGAGCCATGATAAAGGTGCATTGTGCCCAAGACAGTATTATCATATTTCTCCTCCACTTTGACAGAATTGGAATGCTCAACAACACTGTTAAGCTCCGGGATGCTCTCAGCTGTGTCCCCAAACCCATGGTAATGTCCATAGTGCAAGTTATCTCCAATGTCATCTAGCCAGGAAGGTCTATTAGCTACACAGCTACTCGGGCTCCCGTTCAGATGCAGAGAGCCACACATATCAGGAGAAATGTTCATTGTCTTTTCTGATTCTTCAGCACCATTAACAGAGGGAGTTTTCTGGCTATTTGCAAAAGTCAGTCCTGGAATTAATTCACTGCTAATTCCATTAGGTGCTGTTAAGCATTCTCCATTCCTGTTTTCCATCCCATTGAGCTGTGTCGTGGAAGGGAAGTCCAAATGTCCATTGGTGGCATATCCACTTGTCAATGTATTCAAAACGGAGCTACTGCTATTCATATCTGCATTAAGAAATACACCTGTCACCAAAACTCAGAATCAATGGGGGGGAAAAAACATAAAAAATTTGGCTATATTTAAATAAAACCTCGTTTTATTTTTCAAAATCGATTAGATCTTCTGGGAGGTATTGATCAATTTTCAAGATATCTTGCATAGCTGTGTTTAAAAATGAAGGACAAAATAGTTTTGATTGTTATGATTTGAAAAATAACTCGGCATTTAAAAGATGTGGGGCCAAACTGAGAAACTTAGGCTATCATTCTTTACAAAGTAGTCTTTAAACTATTTTATCATAGTTTTCAAAATGATTGTTTTTTGAGTCATTCTCAGCTATACTTGAAAATTTTCTAGCCAAGTAAATTCTATCAGACTCAAAAATAAAAAACAAATTAGATTTTTAAAAAAATACACTTTAGGTTTTCACTAGAGAGGCCTTGACCAGGGTTCAAGCCCAGTCCCAGACAAATAATGTTTTTGTGACCAGGATCATTAGCCCCTTAACTTCTTAGTACACCCAGGAAACTTTTAAGACTATAATCCTGGCAGATCTGCACTGGTAGAGGGAGTTACCTCATCTAAGGGTTCCCAATGCCTAACCCTCTCTCTCTTCCAAGAAAAAAAATATAAAATGGTTTTCACAAAGGATTAAAATGAAGTGTAACACTTCATTCAAGATCGAGAAAAACAGTACATAAAGTAACTTAAGCAAGCTAATTACAGAAGCTTTTTATAAGAATGGAAGACAATGCAAAGTGTTCTAAAGCAAGTTCAGACTAATAATTTAGGAAAGCGCACAAACAAATTTTATAGGAATAGTTTTCTTTAAGTAATACTCAAAAATTGACATAATCCATATGCAAAATGCCAGGTGAAAACAGCATTGGCAAAATGCACAGACCAGAATGCTTACGAAAAGAAAACATGGAAATTAATGATATTCATGCAAAAGGTCATTTTGAATGACTAGTTCTGAATTTTATTAAATTATGATATTTAGGATACACCAGCCACATTAAAAAAAATAAGTAGGGGGAACACTGATTTTTGAAGCTTAAGACAAAAATTTATTCAGTAAAATATTGATAAGGAAAAAATACCCATGACAAGTACTGGAATAGACCAATACATATTACAGTTCTGTGCTTTGTAACTCAAAAGTGTATATGTAGACATGAATACAGAGAATAAGTAGCTTAAAATTGCCTCTAACCTGGGATTATTAAGCAAGGTTTGCCACTTAAAGTGCTCCTGTACTGTAATAAAATGTAGTCTTACAATGACCATTTCAAAAAATCCATTTCTAATAGACTTTCACATATAGAAGCATTTGATGCATACCTTATTACCCTTGTATAACAGTGCCCTAACAAAGTGCATATTTTTAATTTTTTCCAGGCTAAGTACTTTTCTACATTGCACATTTATGCTACATCTTCATTCTCCCTTCCCTTCATCTTCAACCCATGCCCCCATCTCACCCCTTTCAAAAAATAAACAGAAGGATGCAAAAAGCTTATAATTTTTCAAAAGTCATCAACTTTTGTCTGGTAACAAGTTTATAAACTTTTTAAAGGTAAAAATGCATTAACCAAGAGCATGGTTTCCATAAAATCTGCTAAAATGGAGTAAATGGATACTTTCTCTGATCTTTCAAGTTGAACCTATAGCACAATGTCTTAAGACAACAGTGAACTAGATCTTGAGTCAGAAAATTTTGAGTTCCAGTTTTGTCATTTCTGTTGCTTGATCAGGACAAATGGCATAACCACCCTCATCCTTAATCTCCTCATATATAACATAGGGATGATAATATTTTCATTCCATATCTCACAGCCAAGCATAATGTAAATAGCGGCTGTTATTACTTAAATTCAAGGAAAGTGACCTAAGCTAAGTAGTAATTACATATAAAAAGTATTAACAACAAAAAAACCACCAAAACCCCAGGCCATTTACCCCAGGGGTGGCAACTATGTAATTCCTATTTTTCAAAAACAAAGCCACAAAGTTTCCTTAAAGATAAAATCTGGCTATGGGGCAGCAGTATCCACTTGAAAGATAAGAGAAAAAGAAGAAAAAAAAAAACCTGGACAGTTCAAGTATATGTGTCCAATTAATTATCCAAATCTCTTTAAAGAGATGGAAATAGTAGACAGTGTAATTGGGTTCCCAAAGTTAATTAAAATAGCTAGTCAACTACTCAAAAAATTGGGTGTGTTGCTTCAAACCTAGCTTACTTTGATCTGCTTTACTTTTTAAGGAAGAACACAGGGGAAGACGGGCAGCCTGTTTTCATAATTTATGCGGAATTAAAAGTTGGTATAAAGGAAGTAATTTTTTTTCTCAAGCAGCTAGGTTAAAGCAAATTAGTTCCAGGGATCAACAAGCTAAAAAAGCCCAAGCCAAGTAATACAGCCTCGTAATACTATCATGAAGGGAAATAAAAATTGTAAACCCACCAGAATCTTGCTTTAACATAATAAAATGTAATGACAAGACCATCTCAGATCCTGCTCAAAGGGGTTTGGTTAGTACAGTCAATCCCAAATCTGCCACTTGACATTTTACCATTCTGCTCATTTAATGCTGCCTAATAAAGACCTATACTTCCCTTCTTGCTGCCTTTACCTGCTCATTCCACAGTTTCCACCGATGTCCGAACAGACGAAGGCAACAGCACATACACAGCCCGGATTTTGCCTTATGGCGGATCTGCTTTAAGATGCAGCCTCCAGGAATGCATGGCATCTAAAAGCGGGGCCCACCTGTACCAGAGTGATCTTGTTATAGCAGGGTCTCACCTATACAGGTGTACCTCGCTTTAAGCCAACCCAATATATGAAAATCCAGATTTACACAAAGAGATAAATTAGGGGGCAAGTATTTGCTTTAAAAAGGATTCACAGTAAGATTCCTTCAGATAGTCAGCCCCTCCCAACAATTTAAAATGTGAAAATTTGATTTATACACTTTTCTGGAATGCATCCATCTACTGCATAAAGTGAGGTAGATCTGTAACATTCCCACTGGCACAGACCTTAAAGGGCAGCATTCTAGCAAGGCTTCTGGGTAGAAGTAGAATATATTTAAAGATATAAACATTAAAAGAAGACATTTCAAGTGGCTAATTTATTTAGTTAAATGAGACTAGCTGGAAGTTTAAATTAGGATAAAAGGGCAGAATTTGGTTCATTTTTCTAAATGGTAAGTCCCTGAACCATTAAGGGTAGCTGTAAAAGACTAATTATTGCTTTAAAAAAAAAAGTGAAAATCAAAACACATTCCTGTTTTAGGATTTTTTTTTTAAAAAAAGATGTCAGAGGCTAATAATTACAACTGATAAAAAAAAAAATAATGTGCCTACTGGCACAGAGAGCTGAGCAGGTTTTTTGTCTGCACTCTGAAATGGGCTTGAACTATGAGACTGATTTATACTTTCAACATAATAAACTGCTAGGAAGTCCCACTGGAACAGTAGAAGGCCAATATATTTGACTTACACGTTTGTCCCACTGCTTTTCTTATTTTAAGTTTTGCTTTATGGAGTAGCTGTGGTATTTATCCATGTGCTTGGTTATATAGATCTTAACTGTAAATAAACTTGACTACTATTTTAATTAAAGCATTTTCCATTTGGGAGTCCCTGTTTACTCTTAAAAAAAAGTTTCCTAGGATTTTAGATTATTTAGTAACAAGATATTTCCACCTAATTTTTTTTTTTTACTAATTTTACTAATATATTTATATGGCTTTCCTTTAATATTTTTTAATATACTAGAAACATATTACATTTCCAAAAAGATATATATATATAGAGAGAGATATATATGCATATATATGCTTCCTTTTAAAGTTCACTTTTTAAAAATGGCTTTCATGTTAATTCAGAAAACAAAACATCTATTCTATTATACCCAAAGTTGCACTTGGAATATAGAAAAACAACATTAATAATAAAAATCAGTTTTCATTTCTAAGCATTACACTACATTAATAAAATTGTCATAATCTTTACCTTTCAAGTACATGGAAAGGCTGAGAAAAGAGCTTTTAATCAAGCTAACATAAGATATATTTGTGGTAACTCATTTTTAAAATATTCTAGAATACTATTAAGAAATAAATCTGTTGCTATTTGAAAATTCAAAATGTGAATATTTAGCTATTACTACAAATAGTTCTAAGCCTATGAAATTGGACATAAAAAACTTATGTTTTGCAAATATTTCTTAAGTTTTTTTTCCTCCTCTTTTTAACTTAGGTTTATATTTTAGCAAAAGCTAAAAATGTTCATTTCATTTTTTACTTTTCCACTAACTATAAACCTCTGGCAATTTCTAGCTATTCGCATAACTATCTTTAGAGCTATTTGTATTAAGGTACATATTACTCTGAAAACACTAACAGTACACTATGTGTGAAATGCAAAAAGTATTTCAAAGCTAAAAAAATTCTTTTTAACTCTTTAAAAGATAAAGAAGGCACATTAAGTTTAAGCCTCAATGCATAATAGGAAGAGTGACTTCATAAGTACTGTATATATCCACACTAAATGTGTCAAGAAATGTTTTCTTGTGTCTACGAACACCCAAAAGAATGGGCATTAGAGTAATACGAGTTTCCAAGACACTGGACAACAATGTGCAAAAAATTCAAAGAAACCTTTGTATCTTAGAAATAATATGCATACTGGTTCTTACAACGACAAGGGGTTTGCATTGATGTAACTGTATAAATTTCTATCTCTTTTGGTCCAATAGAACCACTCTCCTGTTGTTTGATGTCTTCAACCATTTGAATGTTGTTGCAGTTAACAGGAAACTGTCCACTCCCACCTGATACAACAGCAAACTCTCTATCAATGTGCATACTGTCAGCATCATCATCAGCTCCTCCGTTCACTTGTGGTATGGAGCAAACAAAGCTCTGAGCTGTAAAAATTAAAAAAAACCCAACAAAACAGGACATGATTTTAGGTTATTCTGTACATATAAAAGAAAACATCAAGACAAATAGTCTGATTTCATATTTTCAAAGCATACAGTAGTTTAATGCCTAACAATTTTATACACACTCACCCCTTTACATCTTGTGCTTTGCCCTCTTTCCTGAAATCTACATGAACTGCTGGTTACACAGCAGTCAACAATCTGTACCACAAACTAGATTTCTTTAGCAAATAATTTTATAACTGAACCTTAAAACTTCTTGGAAGTAGCAACACCCATTTAGGTTCTACTTGATGGGATATGGTATTTGAAGCATACTGTCTTTTATTTCAAGAAAAACATGCATAACTTTAAACATTCAACAGAAATAATGTTTAAATATGTTTCCACTGTTTTCTCATCACTGAAACGAATGAAAATTTCTAGCAAGCAAGAATTACTTAATGATACATACAAAGTGTTTTAAAGTTCCTATATTTTTACTTTTATGCTATAAACCTACTAATTTGAGACAACTGGGAGATCCAGAAGAAGAGGAGTTAGTCAGCTAAGATTTACAATTGAGCCAATGGTTGGAAGTGATTACTGAGTTTCAATGAAGGTTGTACAAATGTGTTATCAAGCAATAAGTCAGCATTTATGTACCACTTTAACATTTGCAAAGCACATTAGATACATTATTCCTTTTAAGCCTAACACCTTGTGAGAGAAATACTACAGGTATCATCTTACATTTTACAGATAAAGAAACTGAGAAGACAATTTCTTACATATAAACCACATGAAAAAATTAACTACTCTTGGTGTTAAATAGAATTTCTATAAAGTACAGTAACAAATGCTATGTACCCATAATGAGCAAACTTGACCCTGAAGAAATATGAGAAAGCATCTTACTCCCTACTTTGTAGTTAGGAGAGTATATCTGTGGAAGCACTCTTAGATTTGACTGATATGTTGGTTTGTTTTGCCAAATTATTTTTTTCCCTTTCTTTTTAAAATTCTATTATACCAGATAGCTCTCTGGGTAGGGGGAAGAGGAAGGGAATGCTGATAAATGAAAGTGATGTATAAACAAAAGAGATCAATAAAAACAAATTTTAACATATAGGAATAAAACACAAGGTTCAAAAATATGTGGGAGGGAAAAAATCTTAACATATGTAATGTTGTTGCAATATTGGAGACATATGAATCAATTAAGCAAAGCACAGGCAGCAGAGTAACAGCAGTTTCAAATTATTCCCAAGTCTGTACTAAAATCAATGATAGTGAAGTTAATGTGCAAACAGTCTTAATGAATCAGAAAAAAAAGATTTGTTGTATGATTACACCAAGAGAACAAGAAAGGGGAGAGATGCAGAAGAAGCTTCAACAAATACCCAAATGGGGTAATGGTAGGGGGAAAAAGTTAAGATATTACTCTTAAATTTGCAAACTGCTCAAAATAATAAAAATTTCAATTATGTTTAAGTTGTAGGGTGGGAAGAGAAAATTAACTTTGTATTGATATAGAACATTCTTAAATATTTTTAAAGACCAAAATTAATTATAAATTGAAGCTCTCTCTCACACTCTTCTTTCCTCCCACCCCCAAAAGATGAACAACAGGTCCTGGGGAATAAAGTATTCCAAGTGTCTGACACAATATACTTTATTAACATAAGGGCTATTCATTCTTGAATAAAGCATTTGCATTACAATAAATCATATTGCAAATCCAAGCAACCTATGTACATATCTACATTTTATAAAGCTATGTGTAATCTTAGAAAAACATCAATTAGTTTTTATTTCCATTTTAACAAAGCTGAGGATTAGTATCATGCCAAAAGCTCATTCCAAAGACACTAAAACTCAATCATCAAAAAGGAACTCATTTCATAGCCTAGACCTAGACATAGCATTAATGCCCTTCCTCTATGAATTTCCAAATTGGGAATTCTTAAGATCTAAATTTGCTCCGTCTTAGTTTTACATAACAATCAAGAACTATTTTTTTAAGCATTTAGAGCAATATGTTATCTTCTAATTCCCAAGGTTTTAAAAAGAAAAAAAGTTCAAATACCACAAAAATTTAATCTGAAGAGGAAACTGACATATAATCACTCAATTAACATTAAATTCTTTAAGACTGCAAAATTGCTATTTCCTAAACAAGAACGGACAGAATTTCCAGAATAACTCAAAACAGAAGAAACAAAGAAAACACAGCCTCAGAAACAAACAGAGGCAGTAGTGTGGTTATAGAATGGAATATAAGTATATGCAAGTACTGCTAACAATTGAAGCACATATATAGTTTTTCCTTTTTTTTAATATAATTGTGAGATTGAAAATTTTTAATGGGAGACCTATGTAAAGAAATTATAGACAAGGTACTGGTAAAATTTAGGTACCATTTTAAGAACAATGAGTTAAGCTAGCCTAGACTGACTTCTTTATAGTCACAAGCTAAGTAATAGGATTTCTATCTAGTTAACTGGTTAAAATACATGATCTTTCAACTTCACGCTCTGATCTTTCAAACTTTAACAAAGTTTCAGGCTGGAAGCATACAAAAATGTTTAAAAACAACTTTTGACAATGCTAACCCCTTAAAAATCATGTGGTCTTGAGTCAATACTGGGAAATTCTACCATATGTACTTATCACCACCACCACCACCACCACCACCCCTTTCAGTACTTACTAGCATACATATCAAGTACCTATTACATGAAAGGCCTAGGCTTTCATTGTATACTACTCTATTTAAAAAAAAAAGTTCTAGCAAGCTTCCAGTATATTTTATTAAACTACTCTAGCATGAAAATCATATATATATCTGAATACCAAAGGACAGGATTTGAACTATAGTTGTTTCCATTAACTTTTCCCCAGTAATATTTCATAGAGACCAACTTCATTGTGCTGTTAAATATTCTTTACTCACTGGAAGATACTTTATACCATTTCATCAAAAAAGTAAGAAGTATCTTAAAATTAGATTATTTCTCAGAAATTCTGGGAAAGCATCGAGGTTCCCAGTTCATTTTTCCCCCCAGAAGAATCACTTTAAATGTTACATGTGAAGGTAAATGCCATCTGCAAAAAAACCAAGATTTTCTCTCTAAATGTTTTAAAAGGAGATCTAACAATAAAAACAATGGAATTGATGGTATTCCATATATGTACTTTGAAAACAAATTTCTTTGTATTTTTTAACTGCACAAGCAATAATTGATATGAGGTGGCATACTACAGTGAACAGAGTGCCAGACTTTGAAGTCAAGGAGACCCAGGTACTCCACTCACTGGGTGACATGCACTTAACCTTTCAGTCATTGCTTCTCATCTGTAAAATACAGAAAATAGCACCCACCTCACAGAACTGTTTTAGGGATCAAATGAGATATGTGCAAGTGTAAAGTGCATCGTAAACCTTAAAACAATATATAAATGCCAGCTATTATTAGTGAATAAGGAATCTTACACATGCTCTAAATTGAATAGTTGTCTGGATTGATGAGCATGGAAAGCAACACACAAATAAATCTCTGATCTCAGATTTGGGTATTCCCTCCAATGATGCAGACTATAATCCATCCATGACTACCCATCTTTCCTGTGACTCACCTATCTATCCTGCGTCTGAGACACAATTTGCTAGAGGCTCTAACTTCTAAAATCAGATACAAGAGAAGTGCACAGATTTTCAACCTGTGAAGTGGCTCATCTCCTATTTTCTATCCTAAGTATTGACACATTTTACTTGTTACTTCTGGAAATTTTTCCTTCATTACTTTTTAGCCTGCTCATATCCACTATGTATCCTCCCATTGCCCTGTGTATGACATGCAATTCCTTGGAGATTATAGGGTTGTTTTGTAGAATTAAAAGTGGCACAAGTGTTGAAAAGACAGGCCTTCATTTCTGGAGAAAGTGTGAGGTCAAGGGTAGTTATATACTTTAGGCAATTTACCCTTTTTTATGGAGTTAGTTGGAAATAACAAGGGTGTAGATGGATACTGCACTTCCAGGAGCAATGTTCTCTTCCTCCTTTTTAATTCTGGGCCCAACTCCACGTCAACTGTCTGATTTCATACACACACACCCCCTACAGACAATCTCTAAACTGTCTCCAACTGCATGTTGTAATTTGAGCAATTAGACATGCTTGAATTTTTATAGATCTCTCCCCCAAGAGGCCAGGCAATTTTCCAGGCCTGATGCAAAGACTAGTCATCTGCAAATAGCAATAGCTACAGGACATCATCTACCACAGAACTCTCTTCAACTTGCACTCTATGCTATATCTCTATCACAATGGCAAATTTTTTTTAATACCTCAGGCCTGATGTTTATGACCGTAAAGTCAATAAACTAAGTTATTTCTTACATATGGGAATCTTAAATGATACAGATGTAGTGATTCCTTTGGTTGAAAATCTTTAAGATAATGTTTTGTTCTACCAAATTATTTCCCCACAATTAAGATCTTGCATTTTCCACTTATTTAAATTATAGATAGGTGGCAGATTGCTAGTGATATTACCTGGTCCCTAATAGTAACTAAAATATGCCATCAATGCATGGGGAAATGTTTCAAAAACACTTTATAACTAAATGATTATATATGTCAATACTTGGTGTTACAGTTTTCAGTATTAATGTTTTTCCATATTTTAATCTTCTAATCTTCAGATCCCTTAATAGTCTCAAACTGCCAGCATGGCAGTGTATGTACTTGTTTCAATACAGATGCTTTTCCCCATCTTCATTCTCTTTATTGCCATCTCCAAGTATATTTGTGACTATGTGGTAGCTTACTGTCCTAGAAGGTGAAAAGCTATTAAAAAAAAAAAAAGCACAGGTCCTTTTCCATTGTTGTTTGCTGGCCTCCATCTTTAAATGCCCTCAGGACAACTTTGCTTGGTTGGCTCTCTTGCCTGACTTCAAATAAATGAAAAAGTATTTTTAAAGCATCTACAGATTTAAAG